CGTTCAGTTTGTTGCAGCAAAGTTTGAAGTATTTGTTCCATGTTCGTCGTATTCTTTTCTCTCTCTCTTTTGTTTTATTGTTCGTTCCTTTGTTTTCCTTTTTCCTCTTTCGCTTTTTACTCACCTTCTTAATTTCTACTTTTCCTTTCTTTCGTTTTCGCTCGCTCGCTGTCGGTAGTTGCAAGAATTACGGATTCGATGCAATCCTTTTCCTGAATAGCCAGGTCTGTGATAAATTGCAGGCTATTTCGTGCGTCTGTGCCTTGCTTCGGGGATAGGTTGGCGAAGCCTGTTTATAATTTTTCGCTGATTGGTGGATAACAGGTAGAGGTCTTGGCGTAATATACGCACGGTGTCGGCATAATAGGCTGGGAAAAGGTCGGCGATATTAGTTATGCATAGAACCTCAGGGACTCGCGTTTTGTTACGCGTAATCAACCGATTTATTTAAGACTGTATATGGATTCGGAATCTCAGCTGCAATATCTACTCCTTACGACGATTGCGGAACAACTCCGAAGAGATTAAGACCAGTCCAATCTATGGAGGAATTGCGTGATGCTACGTTTCATGACCACATATGCTCAGAAAGACAGTCGGATATAGGGACAGCAAGGGACAAGGGGCAGCCCGAGATTGTTTTCAACCAAGAAGTGCTACCAAATGTAGCAACTACTTGGCACTGGAGGAAGCGTGGTAGGTATGGACTTAGCGAGGTGAGGTAAATTGTAGAATGAGATTATGATCGAGTTATGAGCTCCTAGAAACTCCACATCCGTCGTGTCATTACGATCCATGAAGGAGCCACATCCTCGTCGGTCGCTCTTGTACATGATATATGTATGTGACCTACAATAATTCAATGATGTCAATTCTTTTTCGTAATCTGGATTCTTGTCGACATGTGACATCCACGCGGTTTGATTCGATGATCGCAACAAGTATTGCCGTCAAAACAATCTCGAAGAGGAGCGCAAAGCTCACCCAATGGCTCTGTTCACGACCTCTCTCAACTCATGAACGCGTTCGCTACTATGGACCAGCTCACAACATGCATGTTGCGATATCTGTTTTCCGCGAGTTTTCTCGGTTGTTTCCGCATTGGAGAGGCTCTTGCACTTCGCTGGTCCAACATTTCGTTTGGCGAAATTTGGCGAAATGGATGGAGATAAATTTGTCTCAGTTCGTCTCCGTTGGCACAAGAAGGCAAAGGTGGTGCAGGAGTGTAAAGTGTATGATCTGCTGAACGAGTCATCATATCCATGTTTGTGCGTTTGCATTTCTACGAAGAGTATCTGAGGGTGGTCAGGACAACAACGCACATTACTTCTGCCAGTGAATTTGTGTTTCCTCAGGCGTCGTTGTCGAACAGGTATTTTAGCGTATACATGCCGACACAAATCCTGATGAGGCAGACGGACGCTGTGGCCTGCTGCCAGGTCGTCATCAATGAAATGTTCGGCGAGTTACTGTTCGCCGGGGATTAGGTTGGCTCGACGACATTTTGGGAAATGCCGACAACATCGACAAGCTGCTGGCGCTGTTGGTGGGTGGACGAACACGACGAGTGCTTTGCTGCAGTCAAGAAAACGCTGCAACAAATTATGCCGTTGTCTCATTCATCGGAAAGCAAAATTATTGCCTTTACACAGATGCGAGCGTGACGCATTGGAGTGGGGCATGCGACCAAATCCCACCTGAAGATATGGGACCTCCAGTCGTTGGCGTTTCTGGGAGGTGGATTCGGCGAAGCGATGGCTCGTTGGTCGAATGCGGGGAAAGAGGCATTCGCAATCGTTGAATCGTGCAAACGACTCAAGGATCTGTGCTCCGGCAGCAAGATTCCGTCTTTTACGGACCACAGACCTGGTGTACATCTTTAAACCGCTGGGTTACAACACCAATATGACCCGGTTTCAAGACGTCAAGTTACAGCGGTGGGCCATGTTTATGGTAACATTTCCCTACATGCTCGAGCATATGGCGGGAGAAACCAACATTTGGGCTGACGTGTTGAGTCGTTGGGGTGCAACCCAGTTGACTATGTAAGTTTCAAGGATGCGACAACTCGTCATTGTGTCGCCTTTACACGACAAGGATTTACCTGGCCGACGGCGGCGATGATTTTGGAAGTCCAGAAAGCGGCCATGGAAGTCACTGGTGAAGATGCCGTACAAGACAGCGTGACGTGGAGCGATGGATATTTCCTGTCCGCTGAAGGAAACATATGAATCCCGCAAACTGCTGTCGATCGACAGCAACGTGAATGCATCATTGCGCATCAAGGGGCAAGCGGAAATCGTAGAGTGAACATGACAATACAAGGCGTTGTTGGACGCTTTCCTTGGGTCAACATCAAGAAAAACAAGAATGTCGAGTCATTCGTGGGCAGTTGCTTGCATTGCCTTTGTGTGGATGGTACGATGGTGCCAAGGCTTTGCACACTGATCGCCCGAACGAAATCTTCCATTTCGATAGGTTGAAGCTGCCTCAACCTGCTAACAGCTGGAAGAATGTGCTGGTCGTCAAGGACAACCTGAGTGGATTTTTCGCCTTTTTCAGTTAGCAACGGCTGATGCAGATAGCAGGGCAAGTGCATTCGTGGACTGGTTTGCGATAAATGGGACTGTGTCCACATGGGTGTCCGATGAGGGACCCAAGTCAAGAACGAAGTCGTGAGCAATATCAAGAAGTGCTTGGTGCCCATCATCACATCACAGCGTCGTATACACTATGGGCAAATGGTACGGTCGGAATGGTGAGCAATTTGATTTTGCGAGGATTGAAGACCCTAACCAGCGAGATGAAATTCCGTCCAGACGAGTGGTACTGTGTACTGATGCTCGTGCAGAGCGCATTGAATCATCAGTCAGCCGACCGGCTTGATGGCGTTGCTCCGATGACGGCATATCAAGAGCTGCCGTCAACTACGCCATTGTCTGGGCTCGAACAGACAAGGACGAAGGAAGTTCTGACCGTGGATTGGCTGAAGAATTCGCGACTCAAGTATCTGAGCGACTTGCGCAAATGGATAATATTCACCGCGAAGTGGCGGTCAGAAGTGTAAAGTTGTGCTAGCAGGCGCGCAATCGTCACGTCAAAGTATCGCATGTCAAGATTGCCAAATTAGTCGAGAAGGTCGTCAAATTCCCCAACACTTGGCCCTCAACTGGAAGGCCCCCTATCGCGTTTCTACGGTTGATTCCGATTACTTTATGGAGGTTCAACAGACTTTGAACCGTATGCAACATCGGTGCACCACGCCAGCCGGCTGAAACTTTTCTGCGATGCGTCGTTGACGTCACAGACGACCTACTAGAGTATGTCACATTCGGCGTCGAATGGGTTTTCGTTGAAGACATATATCAGCATCGACGGCAAGTCTGAGGTGCTTGTGAAGTGGAAGGGCTTCGACGTACTCGAATCGTCTTGGGAGCCCAACGCGCAATTGTACGAAGGCATTCCTATCGTTCTTCGTCGTTGGATCTTGAAGCACGCCAGCGATGAAGTCATTCAAGCGATGCGCGAAGACCACGAGGCCTCGCTTGGCCACAATTTGTTGGGGGAAGTGTTCCGCGGATTTGAAAGTGCGTCAATTCGTCTTGCGATTTACCAAGGCGGCTTTGCGCTTAATAGTGTTAGGATTTGCGACGGCTGGCTGCCGTGGACCTGACTTCGAGGACTGTGTAGTTACTGGTGGTTAACATCGGTCAGTTTTCATTCATATCACGAAGTGGTGCCTGCGTTGCCTATTGGAACGCGGGGTGCTTCACAAGAAACCGAAGATCGAAGAAGAAAAACCGAAGTCGCCTAAGTG